CTTGAGCGTGTCCAGAGAAGGGCAACGGAGCTGGTGCAGGGTCTGGAGCACAGGTCGTACGGGGAGCGGCTGAGGGAACTGGGGGTGTTTAGTCTGGAGAAGAGGAGGCTGAGGGGAGACCTCATCGCCCTCTACAGCTCCCTGAAAGGAGGTTGCAGAGAGCTGGGGATGAGTCTCTTGAACCAAGTAATAATCAATAGGACAAGAGGGAGTGGCCTCAAGTTGCATCAGGGAAGGTTTATACTGGATATTAGGAAGCATTTCTTTACAGAAGGAGTTGTTAGGCGTTGGAATGGGCTGCCCAGGGCAGTGGTGGATTCCCCATCCCTGGAGGTGTTTAAGAGTAGAGCTGACATAGCACTGAGGGATATGGTGTATTTGGGAACTGTCAGTGTTAGGTTAATGGTTGGACTGGATGATCTTCAAGGTCTTTTCCAAACTTGATGTTTCTGTGTTTTGGTGAATACAAAAAACAGTAACAAGAGTATTGGTCCAATACTAGATAGAGGTGCTGTAAGTATCAAGAATTAGCAGAAGAGGCAAAAGTGTTCAACAGATATTCTGCTCTGTGTTTGGGGAAAAGCCAGATATATTCCATCAGATGGTGAACTAGCTTTCATTGACAGTAGCTAATGAGGATGTGAAAGAGTAGCTATTAAAGTTAGACATTTTACAATTAAGATTTCAGCTTAAGTTGCATCTAGGACTTTTTAAAGAGCTGGACTATGAGTCCTGTGGAACATTAATGTTGATTTTTTAAATAAATTCTTTAAAACTGGTGGGGTTCCAAAAGACAGCAAGAAGCTAACTTTGTGCCAGTACTTTTAAAGGCTAAGTGGCATAACATGAATAATTATAAGCCTGACATCAATCAGTGGAAAATATTGCATAGGTAACAGGGGTCTGACTAATAATTATTATTCAAAAGTAATAATTATCGTTAGTATTATTCATAATTCAGCCCCATGTTAGCTAATAAATTTAAATGGGTCAGTGAAATTAAAGCTGATCTGTGTGTTTATTGATTTAATCAAATGGAATATAATTTTTAAAAATATTGTCAATTAGGTTGACAGGGGTAATGATGTGGAGGTAAGAAATTCTTAAGGACATTTGACTTGGCTTCATATGTCAGCCTGGTTACATCATTTGAATTATGCAAAATCAAGGTTAGTTTTGTTACCATCTGTAAGTACCAGCAGTTAATCAGACTAACTATAGTCATGCCCTGTGAGTGGAAAATTGAAGCCAAGTAAATGCAAGTAAAATTCTAAGGTTAGAAATAAGGTACATAGGTTTGTAGGGAACAAAGTCATGGAAAAAGTTCTCCATCCTGGATGTTTTTAAAGGAGAATATAGTGTAACTAGTTTATGCAGTAAATGTGGAGAGTGATGAGAAGCACCAGAAGCAGCAGAATCAGCGACGGGGAGTTAGTTCCCCCTCCCTGCCAGTCTGCACACACAGGCAGCACTTCTTCTTTCTTCTCTTTCCCCATTTTCTGATGACATTATTCCCCTAAGTCTGCAAACGAAGGCTTCCTGAGCAGGGTATGGCCCTGTTGCAGTGGCACACATGTGGCAGCTCTGGAGCAGTGGCAGCAGCTTGGCAGTGAGCATCAGTCAGCCTGAATTTTGTAAAAAGTGAGAAAGAATCATTGCAAGGGGCCTTCTGGCTTCTAAGAGTCTTTTTTTGTTTGTTTGTTTTGAGCTGTTCATCAAAAGCCAGGTGTCCTGTCCAACATACCAAACCTAGACAAGGCAGCCTAGTCTTGGGAGAAACAGAAGCTAGGTCTGTGTTTTGGGCCAAGCCCCGAGAGCCCTGTTGTCTTCCCATGCCCTCCTCAGCCGCCCAGCCTCCATGATATGGACTAGAAGCAGCTGTCTGGTTCCTTCAGGAGCGAGGGGAGGCCCTGCACTATTCCAGCAGCCTTCCCTTCCCAAACAGCTGCTCCCCATCCCCTGCAGGGGAAAAGCCATAGGTCTAGTGGAAGCATCTTGTGGTCTAGGTCTGGCCCATGGGTCATGATGCTGGGGCAGGATAAGGCAAATGATATCAAATATTTTCCAGGACCAAGTTCTGTGTCAGGACAAAGTCAAAAGGATGTAACTTTTAACAATGTTTTCCTTTCTTTGCAAGTCTTCAGTGTAGTACTCTAATCTCAAGTCCTGTGGTATCATTTTCCACAGAAATGGTTCCTGTAGCCTTTGCTAAGTGTCAGGAATATTGTTATGCTTCTAGTGCAAACCAAGACAGGATAAATAAAAAGCAGATAAACTACTTTTAATATCTCATTTTGTTTAAGGACAGCTGTAGGTCAACTGAAGCAAATTCAGATTAAAACAACAGAAGTATTGGGGAGCTGGTATGAGAAGAAATTTAAAAATATGTCTAGATAGCAACTGAACATAGAAAATAAAAGCACATTGGACTTGTAAACCCAGGGAAATGAAAGAAATTATTTTTAAAAGTAACATACTTTTATTAAAGAAAAAATTGGGCCATGTTGCTCTTACAAGGAATGTGTCACTCTGATAAATCAGTACTCCAGCTGACACTAAGCTAAGCAGAGCTCTGTGTGAACATGCTGCGAACAGTCCTCTGCTTACAAGGCAGAGGTGACCTAGAAGCCATTCCCTCAGTTCTCTCTGTCCTGCAAGTGAAGGAAAACCAGCTTCTTGCAGCCTTTAGGGGAGTAGTCTCTAGATACTGCAGTTGGAACAGAAATATTCTGTATTGTAAATGAGAGGACTTAGGCTACAAACAGTGTCACTGAATTTTATATTATATTGCTGGTGGTATGAGGAATGGACTATGAGTTTGCAAATCCAAAAGGAGGCTTATAATGTCATACATGATTCTATTTCTCGTAATGGCTTTACTAAATCTTCCTAGTTTTGACCATGGAAAAAGTGTCATATTCCTTCAGTCGACATGCACCCCAGTCTTGCAAGTCACCCTTTCATTGCACAAGGGTCTGCTTTATATCTTTATTACCCATATTTCTGCGTATGATCTCATTGAAAGGAACCTCTTGGATCACTGACTGACAGCACCCATGCCAGCCAGGGTCACATAATTGTATTCATACATGTCTCAGTCACCACCTTACTAGACAGTTTGCCCCTGCCACTCCAATGCTGAACACTGTCCCAAGCTGTCAGCTCTTTGATGACTGGGAAACAGCTGCAGGAAATATGTATACATGGGTTTACCTTACCATCATGGAACACCTATCTTGGTTTTTTCTTTTTATAACCTGTAATCTTGATTTTGTTGTGTAACCTGCACCTCAGTTTTAGTGCATTGTTTTCAAAATTTACTGTTTTCCTGAGAAATGTAAGTCTGGGAAATCTGAGGAGGTATATCCACTCCTCGCTGAGGGAATAGTGCCGTGCTTCTCTTCAACGTTCCTCCCAACCAATGGGAGGAAAAGCCCCAATTGAAGTTTAGGTCACTTTCTGACTGGCTCAGTTCTTTTCATGCAGGATACCTTGTCAGTTGTTACAGAGAATCTAGCAATATTCTCCAGAATGTTTTTTCATTCATCCATAAGTCTGGTACTGTATTTCACTATCATTATTTTAGTTACAAAATGTGATGATACAAATATCCTGAACTATCACCCTAAAACTGCAGAAAACCAAAGGTGGAGCAAACTCAGGGTAAGGGAGGAGAGATAGGCTACTGGGAAGGAGGGACAGGCAGCTTTTGGAAGAACCAAGTTTGAATGGATCAGTGGCTCCAGGAAGCCCTAGTGTAATTTATGTTAATGTCAGTTGCCCATGTGTACAACCTGATTTGTGAACCAGTATTTTTTCCAACTAACACTCAGGTTCTGTATGTGAAAAAATGGCATTATTAATAATTCAGTTAGGTTTCATAATCTGTATTCTTTTTTCTTCCTCCTTTTTTTTTGTTTTTTTGTTTTTTTTTTCCCTGCTTTACTGTATAGTCCAATTGAAATGAAACTTTGGAGAGATTTACTCAAGTCATAAAGCACAGTGTCTTGCAAGTAGTCCTCAAATCCCTTCAAGCTCCCTGAACAGTGTGGGGGTAGTCCTCCTAGAGATTTGTTGCACCCAAAATAGAAAGTTTATAAAATCCAATGAAGGGAATATAGAAACCAAAATCTGGTTGGTTGGTTGGTTGGTTGGTTGGTTGTTTTCCCAAAAACACGTCAGTTTTGAAGAGACCCAAATAATTTTTTCTTTTAAATGTTCATTGTCTGTGCTAGTATGATTGTCTGGTCTGTAAGAGAGTGATTCACCTGTGGTTACCCCATAGCACAGTAGTACTTGATCCCCAGGAGCACTGACAGAGCTGTGGAAATGAGAGGTATTCAGTTGCTGGATTTAGATTTCCCAGTTACACAGTTCTCTAGCGCACAGATGGGAAGTGCTGAGAACGTTGTTGCATCTTTGTAACCTGTCTTTAGAGAGACTCCAAGGAATGCAGGTACAAAGAAGGTGTATTCTCACCATGAAAGGTGGTCACCTGAGGATGAGATATAAGATCTTGATCTGGCTACTATGTAGAACCAGAATAGACTTTAAGTGTTGCATCAAACTGTGAGTTTTAGGGTTAATTCTGACTATAGCTTCCAGACCTCAGAAAAATATAAGTATTGAATAGTATCTGTCCTGCAGTTCATCAGCACAAAACCGATTTCCAAAAATACTCTCTGTAGAAATATTCCTCCCCCACCCCCTCCCTTCTATCTTAAAATGAAGGAGTCTAACTATAGCACGTTGCACAACATGAGGCATCTTGTGCATGAAAAATTACACAATTATGAATGTTTGGATTAGTTTATATGATTGACTGATCATCCTTAAGTACTTTGTAATGGAACCATTCAGCAAATTACGCTGATGTAATGTATGCCTATCAACAAGTAATTTCCTATATGTTTGTTTGCGGTGTTCTCTAGCAGCTGCATTAAGTTTGTTAATGAAATATGGTGAGTAGATCATGATTCCCCTCACTCTTTATTTCATAGGTTGGTGAGACCAGATGCAAAAAAGTTTGCACTTCGAAATCTGATCTGAGATCCAATGATTTCAGCATTGTTGGAAGCTTGCCAAGGGATTTTGAATTATCGAATTATGACTGTTATGGGAAGCCCATTGAAGTCAACAATGGGCTCGGGAAATCTCAAGCCAAGAACAACAAGAAGCCTCCTCCTCCCAAGCCTGTCATTCCATCAGCAGCAAAGAGAATTGATCTTTATGCAAGAGCACTGTTCCCTTTTTGCTTCTTGTTCTTCAATGTCATATACTGGTCCATATATTTATGATAAATATTTTATTTCTTTTTTTTCATATGTATAAAATATATCCCATTTCATTACCCCTTCCCAGTCATGAAGGCCACTGTGTGAAATTATTTGCATTTGCAAAGCAATATGTTGCATTTCGATGCCATGCGATTGTACTGAACATATGGCATCTGAAATCTGAATGAACGCATGACACTGCAATGTCTGTGCTCTGACCAACGTTGTATATAAATGTACAGCATACATCCTGCTTTAGGAATATATATGAAGGACAATGCATACTACATTATAAAGCTGAATGATGCTTTTCAGTTATTAGTAACATACAGAGATTTAAAGTGTTTCTGACGATGAAACTGATGTGCACGTTGAGTATTATTAAAATCAGTATTCTAGTATATGTAGTATTTAACAGCTTTTCTGCTGACTTCCAGAGAAATAATTAAAAAAAAAAAAATCATTCTTGTGTAATTTTAGATGGCACTGTTGAAGAAAAAGCTAAGATGTAATTCATATTATTTAGACTTTCTAAGTGAAGGCAGCATTGAATAAGCTGGTTTTGTCTATGTGGAAAAATAAAGATCAGAGAATTACCAATTTTGTAAAATCAGCTCATTTAGAAAAAAAATGCAACAATTGTATCCATCAAGCAGGCACACTTAAGTGTGTGAGAATATGCTGACAGTAAAACATTGGGCCAAATTTTGACTGTTGTTTGCTTAGGCACAAACTAGATACAATATGTCAAAAACAAAAACATGCCACTTTCTAGACTAAATGTATCAGGAGGTTTGGAGAAACATCACAAGATGCAGTTCAATATCAGGTTCTGTTATACTTTTTTACATTACTCTTCTCCTCTGGCCCATCTTCTCTAGTATCTGGCAAGCCTGCAGTGTATAAGTCACAATTTTTTTGTTGTTGCATCGGATGCATCTTACTCGATTTTTTTTTGTTTGTCCCCTTGAAAGCTTTCAGTTTAAAAAACCCCAGTTGTTACCAAGATGAAATCCCATTTTTACCACTAGTTATAGTTTTTTTTGTTGTTTGCCTGTTGTAGCACAGATGACCAAAACTAACACCTAGCCACCGGTAGAAGTGAAGACGTATCTAAGGTGCTGAGACTCAAACATACCACGAGCTTCGTGTCTATGTGTTAATGGCTGCCCTCACCAACTCATTGATTTGGCTGCAACTTTTTGGAAAATAAGGTCCTATGTATGAAACAGTTCTGATAGGAGACTGCTCTCCATTTTCTAGAGGAAACCCTGTGTCATGGAGACTACCTAAACAAGATCTCCTTGGGGTGCATAGGGCAGGACCTGCGGTCTCCTGTGGGTGCCAGGGTACATCCCCTTTTAAGGGCAAGTCATGGGGTGAACACAGCCAAAAGAAAGCTGCTGATATGTAGGTGTCCGAGTAGCATGTCTTCCCTGGAAACACATAAGCACTGGGTCTCAGCCCTTATGAGCATGCCATAGAGAAACCTGTCTCTGCTTGTAAAGCTAGGGCACCACAGTTAGTTAAAATATGAAAACAAGACAGTTCTCACTAACTTGGCAATTCATAAAAGGAAATACGGATTATTGGCTCCTCACAGGCTAGGAAGGAACCGAATTAAACACATGAAACGTTCCATAGCATGAAAGCAGACACAGTCCAACTTGTACTGCATTTCTAGCTCATCTAGGATGTGGTGAGACAGTGAGGCCACAAGAGAACTGTTGGATCACTTGAGTATTGCCCACCACATGAATGTTGTCCACATGTGGTGAGCCTGCACAACCAGAAGGTCAAAAGTGGGAATATAAAAAAGTTGAATCATGCCACACTGGCTTCACTGGGCATCTAGTGGATATGCACATGCTCAGTGTCTTTTAACCATTGCCACTTTGGCATCAACAGCCTGATTGCACTGACTCATGTTTGGGTTGAAGAGATCTTCTCTTTAGAATATGGCCACGTACTTTCCACCAGCTTCCTGCCCACTTTCTCATGGAGATTTCAGGGAACCACTTTACCAGGTTTCCACAGCTTGTCCTTTGGATTTCTTTCTGACCTGAGTAAATGGAAGGGAATTCCCAGATGTTACTGACCCATGTTGAACTTGGGGGGGGGGGCGCGGGGGCAATTATATCTTTAAGGTCTAGTTCAAAGTTTCGATATTTCTGTCTATTGAAGGTATTTGCAGAATTGTCAGAGACTCTAAGCAATAAAGATAAGTCAAAGAGAGGAAGGAAAGGAGGGGTAATTTTTATATGTACAACCAGAGTGCTATACAGACATTATTTATTCTCATACTTGTATTTTTTTCTTACAGTACTGGAAGTCAAGAAAATAATTATGCTGTGTTGGAAATTATATGAATTTTGGAAGATAATTTTCTTGTTAGAACTCTTATTAAATGATTTATCTGTAATTAATGTCCATATTCTATCTGTATAATCTCAATTATAGATTTTATTGTTAAATTAATCTTTGTTCCTTCTTGCTTTCCTGCTTACTTGACAGCTTTTGTGTTTTATCATAAAACATTTAATCAATAATACACTGTAATTGCTTCCAACTCACACAAAAGGAAGCAAAAGGAATGTGTATTGTTATGATAAAGGCTTTTTGTTCATTACAGCACAAAAACTAAGGACAGAAGCAAACTTTAATAGTAAATTTGAAAGAAAATTTAAAACAGTATCAGCTATTAAGTATTAATTTTCTTTTTACTTACACTAGATAATATTGCAATATTTGTATTACCTTGGAATATATTAATTTGTCCTACTGAGCAGTAATAATTGATTTATTTTATTTTTCTTCTTTCCACTAAATGTCATTGAGAGTTTTGCATACCATTTCACATTATGGTCCTCCAGCACCCTCTAGTTGTAAAATTCTGCCTGTTGACTGATTTCCAGAACGAGGTGCAAATATAAAACTGTATAGGCAGTATAGGATGTTACTTGATAGTGATAATATGAAATTTTAAAAATATTAATAAATTAAAAAATAATGGACATAAAATCATTGGACAGCTATAGCATTTTGTCATGCAGTAAAAAATTTAAATTGTGGAAATTAAGACATTCAGATAGTAGCAAAGATGAGGCTCATGAAGTACACATTAGTAACTAAATTAACTAATCATGATATCTGAACAAGCGGCATGACCACAAAATCTGTTTCTGAGGGAGAGACCATCTGTGTTTCAGCTGACATTTACTTAAGTTCTCCTGTTTACTGGTAGAGTTACAATTTTTTGTTCTACCCTTAATATAAACCTCTGTATTTTCTTGGCTTTTAAGCATTGAGGAGTAATATCCAAATAATTCATTCCTTTCTTTCATAGTGTTATGGCCCTGTAGATATCTTTCTATTTCAGGATTTTAGAACACATTCAAACACTGTATCAGGAATTTCCCTGGAGATAAATTAATTAACTTCTTAACTGCATCCACAAATTTAAGCTATACAATAGTAAGGATGGGACTTGAAAAGTGTATCAGTTGCTGTGCATTAATTCCCTGTTAGGATGTGTGAAATGTACTGTGTGGAGTAATGCAGAGTAATGCACACCTTGCTTTCTTGTGCTGGTATGACTCATGTTTGACACCCAGTTTTATGAGCAGCTCTGTAGTAGGTTTTGGCACCTCCTCTTTTTTTTTTTTTTTTTGAGTCTCACATTAGTTCTAGCTGAGATGTTGTATGTGAGCAGTCTGTCTTTTGAGTGAGGAAGGGAGTTTATTTCAGTAAGTGCAGTGTACAGAAGATTGACCACTTGGAAATACTGCCAAGCAGGTTTCATTCTTCAAAGTCTTCAAATTAATTTGGATTTGGTATCAGGAAATGTGTGGGTAAAAGGAGAGCATCTTCAGTGCCCTATTAACCATTAAAGAGAAAGTAGTAACACTGCCTTTTGGGGCAGTTTCAATGAACATGACCACAGAGATTGATCTGGCTGTATAATCGTTTTGAAGGAAATGCACTTACAAGTAATCGTTATTTGAAAATGTTTCATTCTGAAGAGAGACAATAACTTACTTAAGCAGGCTGTCATAGCTATTGAAGTAATCTATTAAGAGACATTATAATACAGTTGAGACCATTGGTCTCTTCTTCAATTAAAGCAGCTTACATTATGGTTATTGGATGACTGAGGATATTTATAGAACAGGTAACAATAAATTATTTCCAAGGGAGTGCAACCTGAATATATGTAATGTCAAGTGGTTTTTCAGGCTATAGAGATAGCTTAGTGCTGAAATGAGTACAAATGCAGTGTGTAGCAGATAAGGGAATGATAGGACACTGTTACTTGATGCTTTGGTATACTAACTCTGGGATTAGAGAAGATAATGTGGAAAGAAAAAGAAATTCAGATAAATTGAATAATAGTTTTGTTTGTGTCGACAGTTTATTTTAATTATGTCTAATGATTTAATTGCTCTATATAATAATAATATAACAGTCCTCCTCTTTTTATATAAATACAAAGACTTAATTAAGAAAAGGGAAATTTAAGATCATCTGTGGTGCCAGAAAGATACAGATGCTAGTTCTTTTCATAAGAAGCTGTACACTTAAATAAACAATGGAATATACAGAAAACAAAATGCAGTTTTAAAGACATAAAATTCTCACTGTCGTGGTTTTGTCTATACCATTGTATAAAATCAGTCACAAATGATCTGGGCTGCTTGCAGCACTCACTTGCATTTTGACTTACTGGGGAATGTCACCCACCCATCTACCTCACAGTAGCTGTCCTCATTCCATCAGTGGTAACAGTGTCAGTGTACATTTAAAAAAAAAAAATAAAAAATTCATGGCTATGAAATCTTTCTGAAAACCCTTAATTGCTGTGAACATATCTATACTGCAGTCACTAAAATGTCTGCAGCTAATGCAGGCTTATCCAAATTAGCTTTAAACTAGCTGACTCGGGGACGGCTGGCAACGTAGCCATGGTAACGGCGAGCTGCGGCTGGGAAGCCTACCTGCTGGCGTATGAAATGAAAAAAATATACTTTGGTGTTAACCCCCACAAAGCTTTATGCTGCCTTGGCTATTACGCTCAAACAGTTGGTTTAAAGTTAGCTCGTGTGGGTGTTTTTCAGGCCGTGCCTGCAAAATGTAGATGTACGCTCTATGACGCATTGTGTGCTAGAACTGAATTATTTCTTCCCACTGGTGATGTGAAAGATGCCACTGTAAAATATTCTCTCTATGGGTCTTAATGACATACAGGCTTTCTGCCATAATTAATTTTGTGTACTGACAAGAGTATTCACCAGTAGTGCCAAAAATGAAACTCGTTTTCCTGAACCAATGCACGTGTGAAAGAATGCGTTGGATTCGCCCACCTGAGCATGAAGGAGGTTCCCTCCTGAATCTGTGTCATAAGACAATCCCTTTTACACGTTAAAAGAGCCATTCTGTTTAAAGTCCCTAACTCTAATAGTGGGTGTTAGATTGTGACGACCTTTCAAATGAATAATGAGACTAAAGAAACTAGTGAGACTAATGAGACTAAGGTTATAAAAGTCTTTTTTGGTTTCCAGGTTGTTCGTCGATGCCAGACCTGGTTTTGAGAAGCACTGATTGCTTTTCAGCATGGTGTTTCTCAACACATCAGTGCCTATCAGGGTTCTAGAGAACAGCACTAACTGACTCCCTCCAAACAGGGAAAGTATTTGAAGGTCCTTCAAGCTCATTAGTCAACTCTTCCTTGGAGTATTGAGGTAAATCTGAAGTCTATCACCATTAGCTATCATACAGATACAGCAGCTACATTAGGCACATGTGTTTTACTACTAGAAAATAAACAGTCTTTCCCCTTATTGCCTAAAAGTATGGTTTACAATGATGGAAACCAACCAGTAAGACAACGTGGGTTACGAAGAGCTTCTATCCCACCAGACAGTTGCTTAACCACAGAACACTATTTGAAAGGAAGAAGAATGGGGACTGTGGAGTAGTGGCCAAA